AATACAGCTTCAATACAGTGCAATATAACTGCAATACAGTGCTATCCGGCACAATCCAGTCCGATACAGCTGCAATACAGCATGATATAGCTGCAGTATAGTGCAGTGCAGTGCAATACAGCACGATACAACTGCAATACAGCACAATATAGCTGCAATACAGTGTTACACAGCTGCAACACAGTGCAATACAACTGCAATGCAGTTCAATATAGCTGCAATACAGCATGATACAGCTGCAATATATTGCAGTATAGCTGCATTACAGTGTGATACAGCTGCAATACAGTGCAGTATAGCTGACATACAGCACAATACAGCTGCAATACAGTGCAATACAGCACAATCCAGTGCAATCAAGTGCAGTTCCAGTGTGGTTCGTTGCAATACAGTTCAGTACATCTGCAAAACAGTGCAATCTAGCTGCAATACAGTGTAATACAGTGCACAATACAGAGAAATAGAGCTGCAATAGTGAATACCAACAGTGAATACAATCGTGACCCTTTCTAGACATGGGTCCCATTCCTAAGATCCCCATATCTAGAATATCAGCTACATTTCTTTACTTTTTACTTTACATACAGAAAAGCTTAATTATTGTACTGTGTCCTTATTATGAAAGTATTATCAAATCCATGTCCTACCAGAACAGGACCACATTGAGCTTTTTTATTGCCCCCAAATTCCCTTATGGACAACCTCTTTCTCTCGCACCTTCTGGCATTTTCAACCCACATGGTTATGCTTTTTACCTATCCTCTGAGTAGAGTTATACATATGAGTATGTAGCTCATTATGTCATGAGTAGAGTCATATATCTAGTCTTTTTCTATTTGGCTTCTTTCACCTGGAGAAATACATGGAAGATTTATTCATGTTCTTCAGTGAATCAGTTGTGTTTTGTTGCTGAATGATAGTCTATTGTTGGTGTGACCACAGATTTCTTTGACCATTTATTTGTTAACCATAAAGGAAATTGTTATAAACATTTGTGCACATAATTCACTTGGATTATAACTGCTACTTAACTATGTTAGCTCCGTTTTATTACTGGAAGGTACCAGACTGATTTTTCAAAATGACTGTCTCAATTATGCATTTCCGCCAACAGTGAATGAGCATTTTTTTAAGGTTTCTTGCATCTTCTCATGCATTTGCTAGTTTTAAATGTAGTTTCATAAGGTATGTTGTGATTTTTATCCAGCATTTCCCTAAGGACTGATGTTGAGCATTTTTTCACATTGTCATTTTCCATCTCTATGCCTTACTTTATAAGTGTCTGTTCAGAAGTTTTCCCAATTTTTGAGCTATTTTTGTAGTTGAGTCTGAGTTCTTATATATTATATACAAGCCCTTCATTAGATAAAATATTTATCCTAGTCTCTTCTTTGTTATTTCTTTTGCTTAGAATTGTATTCCATAGAATAAAATTTTGAAATTTTCATAAAATCTGATTTGTCAACTCTTTTCTTTATGCATGTGCTATTGATGTTATATCAAAAGAACAATACCCATTCCAGTGTTATATAATTATCCCATTTGTTTTCATCTAGTTTTAGTTTCATTTATATATATTTGTTTCATTAGATTTGTCATTTATTTGTCATTTATTTAGAGGTAATTTGATTATAACAGAAAGAAATATTTATGCCATAGGATCATTTTTACTGAAGGTATTAGGATTGTCTTAGTTTTTTTTTTTTTTTAAGTAAGGTAAAGGTAAAGGTAAAGGCCCTCCCGTTGATCGTCGATTTGCTCGAGCAGGCCCAGTAACGTCTCCATTGGAGACTTGGTTGTTACTGTGTCTGGCATATTGAATACTCTCGGTAGCTTGCCGGGCTCTCCGAGAGGGGCGGAGGAATTGAACTTGGGTCGGCCATGTTGGCCGCTTGTAAGGCGAACGCCCAAAATCTTCCATTCATCACCATTGCCAACTTTCAGTAGACTACATTGTACCAGTGTATTTCTGGGCCTGTTTTCAATTCCTTTGGTCTATCCTTTTGCCACTCCCACATTATTTTGATTAGGATTGTTTTATAGTAAGACTTGACTGTTTTATATTAACTCTATACTAAGTCTCATGATTGTATAGTAAATCTATGATCATTCTATTGTAACTCCAATTTTCAGAGTTATTTTGAGTATTCTGTTTCCCTTGTCTTTATGACTAAACCTTAGAGTTAGCTGTTGCTATGTGTATAAAAATACTGATATATTGATAGGATGGCATTGAATTATACATAAAATGGAGACTTTTTAAATGATCTTATAAATTCCTTTCACAACTATATTTTATAGTTTTTTACATATGCATCCTATACACATTTTCTTGAGCTTATATATCACTACATCTTTGTGATATTATTAATGACACTCTCTTTAGTTTAAAATTTCAGTTGTTCACTGTCACTGGATAATTTGTGTCTATGATTGACTTTTATATTTTGAATTTAAACCCCACAATCTTATAGAAGTGACATTTTAGCTCTAATAGTTGGAGTACTTCATTCTTAATAGGGGCCACCCTCAGTGGTACATAGAGGCCATTTGATGCCAGGGACCAAACTAAGAGCCATATAAGATGCCAGTTATGTGCTCTACCACTTGAGCTGTCACTCTGATTCTTGACAGTTTTGCTGATATTAATCTAGCAGACAACCCTGAGACCTATAGAGACATATCCATCCTTCCCTTTCTCCCTATGTCTTTTCTTATTTTCTTTTTCTTTAATTTATTTAGTTTTCTAGGAAAAATATCTGGCATGGTTTTGAAGGGAGTGTCTTGACACTTATGTCCAATTGTTCAGTATGATGCTTTTGTCAGTATTTATGTAATGTTAGGCTAAGGATGTCCTCTGCTCATCTGAGTTTATAGTTTATCATGAAAGTATATTGAATTTTAATTTTTCTGGGTGCTTGTTCTGAATATATTTAAAAAGATCATGAAGTTTTCAAATATTAAGTCAGATAGTATGTGAGTTATAGTTTATTTTGGAGTTATGAATCAGTCATTCTTTTCTTGTATGAACTACTGAGTGGCTGGGAGGTCTATTTAGTGCTCTGCATGTGGAACTCCATATGTGGTGCTGAGTTTCAAACCCAGATTGATCACATGTACTTCCTCTCTGTGCCCCCAATTCCTTTCTCATTTCTTACACAGTCTCCTGTGACTTCTCTCTTTTTGGTCATTCTTGGCTAAAGACTCATCCATTTATTTTTTTATAGAAGTAGCTTTTGATTGTATTTGTATTTCTCTATTAAATTTTCTCAGTTTCATTGTGAAATTTCTATTTTTGGAGAAAGTATTTTTTTCTCTTGTGTCATAAAATATATTCTTAGATTATTTATTTGGGTGCTCCTTTTTCTCTAACATAAGCATTTAATATGTATTTCTTTCTAAAAGGCACTTTAGCCATACCCTATGAATTTTGATATATTTCACTCCTATTTTAATTTAGTTAGATATTTAAATTTCCCTTGATATTGCATCTTTGACCCATAGGTTATTTAGAAGTGTGTTGTTTAATTCCCAAGTGTTTGGAAGTTTTCCTTTTAACTTTGTTATTAATTTCTAGTTTGGTTCTGCTATGGCCTAAGAACATAGTTTGTATGTTTTCTATGCCTTAAAAATGTTCAGAATAAAGTTTAACTTACTTATTGTTCCACTTACGCTTGAGTAGAATGTGCGCTCTTATTTTTCTATGGCTTGCTCTCTACATATCAATTGGGTTGAGTTGTTTGACAGCATTGTTGGGCTATTTTGAGAAGGGCCAGGGGCAATGTCATGTGCAATGAAGGTAGATGCAGGCTGATATTAGAGTTTAATGGAGGTTCATTTGGGTTGAGAATATAGCCAGGTGAAAGCCTGGCTGTCACCACCCAGTCATCTCCAAGCATGCTGCAAGCAGGACAAGGCGTCCCTCTTGTCTTATGCCAAGGCCCTGGTCTTCAGGAACTTTCTACAAATGTCCTCTCCACCTTTTTCACCTACACTAGCCTTAATTGGGGTATGTTTCATGATATATTAGAACTTGGAGCTACCATTGAGCAAGCAGTGGCGCGGTAGAAACTCTATTTTTTGCTTAGTGAACTGCTGTATTTTTTTTCTACCTTAACCTGTGATGTTAATTAATAACACAAAAGCTCTGAGAAGCCTGGAACAAACAAATGTTTCTTGACTTGGTTCCTTTTATTCTAATATAAAATGTGTGATATGAACAACTGTGTACCTTTTCTCACGAGGTAATAGATTAAAAGCCAATGTGTTTGGTTACTGTATTTGCAGGAGTTGGTGTCCTTGTTATATTTTAGGTCGATTCCATTGCTCTGGGGTTTAACATTTAGGGTGGGTACAGAGGCGGATATAGAATCTTGGGGATGCAAACTTCGTAGTCACCAAGATAACTATAACTTTTCATTTCTCCCATGAAATTATAAATTATTTATAATAGGTTTGCTGTAGCCTGTTGCATTCATTGGATAGAACTTCTCTCACTTGGCCAGTCTAAATCTCGCCACCCCGCAAACCCCCACCCCCACACCCGCCTCTGACCTCCCAGAATCTCTATCATTGTCTCCAGGCATTTCCAGGCGCCTTCCACAAAGAAAGCTGTGATGTATCTAGCAAGAGGCCCGGAGATGAACACAGCAAAGGTCTTAGGGCTCCGCAGATTGTCCAAAACCTGGGGCTGGACCTATAGTACAGTTGGTAGGGCATTTGCCTACGGTAGGTAGGGCATTCCATATGGTCCCCCAGCACTGCCAGGAGTGATTCCTGAGTGCAGAGCCAGGAGTAACCCTTTAGCATCTCTGGGTAAGAGCTAAAAATAAAATTAAAAAATAATAATAACATCCAAAGCCTACCACATGCAGAAACTTCCAGAAAATTCTGTGCTTGCAAGATCTCAACACCCCTCACCCCCACCCCAGCTGCTGTCGTGCTTCCTCTGGCACCTCCGTGGGACCTTGATTGACACTCTGCTTTCTTTCCTTAAACAGGTGGGCTCTGCATTGCCCAGTCCGTGAGAATCCCCCAAGAGCGCAAAGACAGGACCACTGACTTTGATAGAATTATCAAACAGCTCCTGGACACTCCCAACTCCAGGGCCGTCGTGATCTTTGCCAACGATGAGGACATAAAGTAAGGATGACTGTACGGTGATGTTCATTAGCATGCATGCCGCAAAGAGAGCAGGGCAGGGTGGAAGTGGCAGAGAGAGGGGAGAGGACCCAGGAGACCCGAAAGGTGCTACCCGGCAGGGCTCTGCGTCTTCCCCCAAGCATCAATCTCACATTCCACGAACAGGAGTCCACACCTGCACTCTGCTTCCCCCACCTAAAAAAATAAGTATATTGAATTACTTGTGATAAGAGAGTCGTGGGTCCTTTGAGGGTGACTTTATTAAAGGTATGTCCAGTGTAACAGACTTTTGTTTAAAGCATGCTTCCTCTTAAAGGAGGAGAAACCATCATTCTGGCAGAGCTGCTGCTACTTTAGGTCCAGAATGTTCAAAACTGAGTTTCTTCCACGGTGTTGTCCAGTTCACCTTTCCTTCCTCTTTCCTCAGGTTGATCCTTCTTGAAGTCCAAAGTTTCCCTGTGATCTTGGCTTTCTTCTCCTCCTCTACCCTTTATTTCTTTGCCAAGTTGTAGAGCCTAAACTTTGTTTTGTTTTTAGGTCACATCTGCTAATGCTCAGGGCTTACTCCTAGATCTGCACTCAGGGATCACTCTTGGTGGGTTTCGCAGAACATGTAGGGGGCTGGGATTGAACATGCGTCAACCACATGTAACCCAAGTGTCTGCTGACTTCTGTCTCCAAAAGCCCTGAAATATTTTAACTACAAACATGCTCTTTTATGACTTCTGCCTCCATGATCCATAAGTTTCCTCCCACCCCTCCCTCTCTCCATACCTCTTTACTTTCTTCTTCCTCATCTTTCTAGATTACAATATAATTTTAGCTGATTTTACCTGGGCTGGAGCGATAGCACAGAGGGTAGGGCGTTTGCCTTGCATGCAGCCAACATGGCCGACCCGAGTTCGATTCCTCCGCCCCTCTCAGAGAGCCTGGCAAGCTACTGAGAGTATATCGCCCACACAGCAAAGCCTGGCAAGCTCCCCATGGCGTATTCGATATGCCAGACACAGTAACAACAAAGTCTCACAATGGAGACGGTACTGGGCCCACTCGAGAAAATCGATGAACAATGGGAGGACAGTGACAGTAACAGTAATTTTATCATGTAATTTTACTCTGAAGCCTGATTATATATAAAAATTACATATATATAAATATATATATATGTTTAAAAGTTTCATCAACCTTGCCTTGAGTTAATGAGTCCTCTAACTGGTTAGCCAGTCCCTCATACACTCTAGAAACAGTGTTTTGCTGCAAGGGAGGATACACTCTGTATATGTCTTCTTCCTGCTCACTTTTGTGTACCATTTTATCATGATGCCCCTGAATGTTGTACCTAGAACTCTCTTCTATCTTTTTAATAGCTGTGCAGAACTTTATTCTTTATATGCACTGTGACTTATAGAACTGACTGGTCATTGACATTTAAGTTTGAATGCAAATTCTTGCCATTATAAAGAATGCTAGAATAAACTTTGTCTTCCACAATCTATGCATAAAAACACAAACATACAAATGATGATATCCATGTATACATCATCATTTAACTGCAACATATGTTAGCATCATTTAAATATATACTATATAAACACATTCTTTTCTAGATGTATAATATGTTTACAACAATTTTTTTCTTTCTAGTTTTGGGGTCACACCTAGTGGTGCTCTAGGCTAACTCCTGACTTTGTTCTCAGGGATCATTCCTGTGGGCTCAGGGGATGTGATGCTGAGGATTGAATCCAGGTCAGCAGCATGCAACACAAGTGCCTAACCTTCTGCACTATCTCTCTCTTGGCCTCCGTAAGAAATTCTTAGAAAAAAAGTTCTAGGACATCAGATGTGCCCCTTTAAAAAATATATGTGAGGGTTATTGCACTCTAGACAAGCCTATGTTCTGTCTGTCTGTCTGTCTGTCTCTCTCTATCTCTATCTCTCTCTATCTCTAAATCTCTCTATCTCCATCTCTCTCTATCTCTATATCTATCTCTATCTCCACCTCTATCTTTTTATCTCTTTCCTCCCTCACATCTCTCAAAGTTTCTTAAAATAAAATCTGTATTGCTAAAAAAGAATGATAGATGTGAGCATTTTCTTCCCAGGAGGTTTTGAAATTTTCTTCTCACATAGATCAGAGTTAGCTGAGTGGGTCCCTCAGAGTTTTCTAATTGAAAACACGGTTTTCCAGTCCTGGCCTGTCATCTTCTCACTCCACCTTTGCTTCCACACACTGCCCACTACTGAAGACTGATCCCTGAGGGCAGGACCATTCCATGGAAAGAGTTCTGGTCCTGAAGCAGGGGGAGACCCAAGTTCCTTTTGCTTCATAGGTGAAACCATCTCACCTCAGGTCCTCAGCCAAGATGTTGCTAGTAGATGGAACTTTTAAAGATAGATAGATAGATAGATAGATAGATAGATAGATAGATAGATCGATCTTTTTTGCTTTTTGGATCACACCCGGCGATGCTCAGGGGTTACTCCTGGCGGTGCTCAGGGGACCATATTGGATGCTGGGAATCGAACCTGGGTTGGACGCATGCAAGGCTAATGTCCTACTTGCTATACTATCGCTCCAGCCCTTCCTCTCTAACTTCCTGAGGTCTTGTTGTTGTGGTGGCTTGGCTGGATCCTCACTTTGTCATTCATCTTTCCACACCCATAACTATTTCTGTTGCCCTACCAGGGGGCCACTGCCTCCTCCCAGCCAAATCCTGTCTGTTCCAGCTCCCTGGATGGGAATTCTTTCCCCTTCCCCTTTGGCATGCCACTGGTGCCCTGCATGTTGCTTCTGAGGGAGATTTTGCTAAGCCACAGAGCTTCACCAGAGTCCTCCTAAGATGTAAAAGTTTTAGTTGATGCCCCGCTGGCCACCTGCCTTGTCTTTGAGATGCCCGAATCCCCTACTCTCCGGGATGCCTTGTTAGGAAGGAACTGATGCTGGCTTTGGCCGCCTGTGACATGAAGTGTCTCATAACAAGGCTCTGTGCGCTGAATAAGGATGGGGTGATTGAGCGAGCACGTGAATGAAATGCCTGGTCTGATTCCCACTGCATAATTATTTCAGAGCAGATTTATCTCTCTGAACTTCAGCGTGATTTACCCTGTAGGGCTATCTTCACTTTAGCACCTGTTCCCAACTCCAACTATAAGAGACTATCGCTAGCTATCTGATGTATGCAAGTGCCCCCTCCATCATGGCCTGGGCCTCTGCTGTTTCTTGTCTTCTTACTGACCTTGTGCCTGTCCTTCAAGACTGTTTCCTTGTTTGGGGAGGAGGGGTTTCTGAATCTGCACTCAGGAATCACCCATGGCAAAGCTTGGGGAACCATAGGAGATGCCCTGGATTGAACTAGGGTTGTTGGCCTTTTGCAAGAAAAACGCCCTCCCTACTCTCCTATCCCAAAACCCTTCTCTATGAAACTGTTCTTTAAGATAGGCATAGAGGAATTTCTTTATAACCTCTTAAATATAGCATCTATCTCCTAACAAAATGCCTATTATATTTATCAGAGAGGATGTTTTCTTATGTAGTTTCTCTTTTCTTTCTTTTTTTTTTTTAGAACTTTTCACTCTTGTTTTATTGATCTAGGATTTTTCCCCAGCTCCACTGTCAATCCTTTTTGGTCATACATGAATTGTTTTCATGTGTATTTCAATATTTTCTGACTAGGTAATACATTAATAGGGTGGCTTCATGCCCACTTCTAAGAACAGGATTTAATCACTTGATAACTTGACACCCCGTTACTCATAGATTTTCTAGAGTGGGCACCAGTAACGTCTCCATTTGTCCCTGTCGTGTGCTAGTATAGCCCAATGGCATCTGCTCGTTCTAGGAACATGAAGAGTCTCAAACCAATTGTGCAGGGTCTTGATGAAGAAGTCTGACCATCTCATAGGTGGGCAGCCACGCGATCTTTTGACGTCCTGTGGAATCCAGTCCATAACAGCTCTAGTCCATTGGTCATCTCCAAATCTCATTACGTGACCAGCCCATCAGATTTTCGACGCCTTGGCAAATGAGACAGAGTCTCTGATTCTTGATAGTCGATGGGGATTGGAACTCCGGATTCTTTCTCTCATTTGAGTGAAGCGGGTTACTCCAAGCATAGCTCTTTTGATTCCTCGTTGGTAGACCCAAATAGCATTCTCATCCTGGATTCATAGGACCCAGGTCTCTGAGGAATTGAAGAAATGTGCCCAGAGCCGGAGGTTTTTCATCCTCTTAGCTATTTCTTCGATGCTCTTGAAGGCGTTCCAAGCTGCTCTCTTCCTCCTGTGCAATTCAGGTGCCATGTTATTCGTCATGTTGACTTCTAGACCTAGGTACACGTAACTGTTACATTAGGATATATTCATTTCGTTGAGAGTGAATGGAATTTCAGGAACAAAACTGTTTCTCATAAGCATTGTCTTCGTGAGATTCAGCTGTAATCTGACCTTTCCACACTCATGGATGAATCAGCCAGCATTTGTGCCACTAGCTAATGTATGGTGTTATTAGAACGATGTCATTAGCGAAGTGGAGGTGGTATAGTTGCCGACCATCTATCTTCACTCCCATTCCTTCCCATTCTAGTCATCACATGATGTTCTTGAGGGTGGCACTAAAGAGTTTTGGTGAAACGGTATCGCCCTGCCGAACCCCTCTCTTGAGGTCAACGATCACTTCCCTGTAGAATGGTGAGATACTGGTAGTGAATCCACAATACACCTCACGGAGGATCCTGATGTACTGACTTTGAACGCCCTGTTTGGCTAGAGCTTCTATGACTGCTTCCATCTCAACAGAATCAAAGGCTTTCTTTAAATCAATGAACGTTAAACAGAGTCTCATCTTGAACTCCCGAGAAACCTCAATGAGCTTGGTTATCATGTGGATATGGTCGATAGTGCTGAATCCTTTGCGGAACCCAGCTTGCTTGCATGGTTGTCCTTCATTTAGTGTTCTGCCAATCCTATTCAGGATGACTCGAGTGAACAGCTTGTAGATGACA